GGTACCCCCCATGAGGTGCCTTGGCACTAATTAGAGTTTGACCCTGAATAAAGCTAATTGTTTTTGGCCCTAAACCCAGATTTGCCCAGATCCATGACATGAATACTAAATCAATACTAAATCCATGACATGAATACGAGATCAATACTAAATCCATGACATGAGTACTAGATCAATACTAAATCCATAACATGAATACTAAATCAATACTAAATTCATGATATGAATACTAGATCAATACTGAATCCATGACATGAATACTAAATCAATACTAAATCCATGACATGAATACGAGATCAATACTAAATCCATGACATGAATACTAAATCAATACTAAATTCATGACATGAATACTAAATCAATACTGAATCCATGACATGAATACTAAATCAATACTAAATCCATGAAATGAGTACTAGATCAATACTAAGTCCATGACATGAGTACTAGATCAATACTAAAACAATTGCTGGACTCCTTTTTTTTTTGAAATTGAATTTTATGTATTCGTTTTCAATTGTGGAATACTAAAACCTTTACATACAAACAAGTTTTATGGTGGCCTTAAGTCTATTTAGGGTCAGAGAGGGGGGGGGGGCCCCCCATTTATAAATCAAGGGCAGACATTATTGATATATATATATATATATAGATAATATATTTTTATATTTTATCAAAGTACCCAACCCAAAAAAAACAAACTATTTGAACTACGATCGAATGGTGATCGTTTGTTCTGACTGGCACTTCCACGAATAGAAGGATAAATGGATGGAGACACTAATTATCAATCCCCATCTTGGCATGAGTACCGAAAGAAGGATAAGAATTAATAATATTGAAACATCCAAGGGACACTAACCCAACACGATTTTTCCTTTGGGATCATTTTTATTAGAACTCACTGACACAATACTGTCCACCTTCTTCAGCTGCCTGCTTGGCCTGCTCGAAGCTGCAACTGGCAATGCTGCTGCCTTGCTGCCTGCTGCTGCGGAAGCAGCCGGTGCGGCCTCTGCCATTCGGTCCCTGCGCTCCGCAGAATAAAGTTCATCCGCCAAGGAGATGAGACGCACCAAGCTCGGCGACAACTTCTTGCCACTTGTCATGGACTTCCGCTTGGCGAAGATGTTTTGCACGCAAACAACCATGCTAGCAGCGCAAGCACTCGACGCCGCCTTGTCAGCACCAGGGAAAGCGCTGCGCAAAGCCCTCACGGCTTCCTCCTTGTTCAACCGCGGTGTCTTCTGCAAAATGTCGCGAAGAAGCTCCTCATGCGTCTCATGACTGCACAAGGTGGGAAGATCAGACAAGTTGCCCCTCAATGCCTTGGACAGGTAGCCTACATCCATGGATGAGGCTTCCCTCATCTCTTCCACCAGACTTGAGCTGCAAATCTTCGCGGACGCGGTGATGCCGCTCCCGAACTCTTCCAAACGAAAAAACATACCCAGAGGTACGAAAAGTTCCATGTCATGCTAACATCCATGTCTTATGGCTCTTATAGAATCCCACAACCCACTTATTCACAAAAAAAGCCTCTAAAAACAACCTCTAATTAGAGACTAAAAAAAAACACATCTAATCAAGGGATATCCCTTAACAAAAAACATCTAATTAGAGGATCCTCTAGTTAAAGGCTTTTTGATGCTCAGGGAAATTCTCACAAGCACGTTCCAGTACTACCGTATACTACAAAACTCGCACAAACACGTTCCAGTACTACCGTATATACTACAAAACTCGCAAAAACACGTTCCAGTACTACCGTATACTGCAAAACTCGCACAAACACGTTCCAGTACTACCGTATATATTACAAAACTCTCACAAACACGTTCCAGTACTACCGTATATACTACAAAACTCGAACAAACACGTTCCAGTACTACCGTATATACTACAAAACTCGCACAAACACGTTCCAGTACTACCGTATACTACAAAACTCGCACAAACACGTTCCAGTACTACCGTATACTGCAAAACTCGCACAAACACGTTCCAGTACTACCGTATATATTACAAAACTCTCACAAACACGTTCCAGTACTACCGTATATACTACAAAACTCGCACAAACACGTTCCGGTACTACCGTATATACTACAAAACTCGCACAAACATGTTCCAGTACTACCGTATATACTACAAGACTCGCACAAACACGTTCCAGTACTACCGTATACTACAAAACTTGCACAAACACGTTCCAGTACTACCGTATACACCCTCGTCTGTTGCCAGGGGGGGGGTGAGGCACCTAAAAAAATAAAATAAAATGCAGGGGCCTAAAGACAAAATGCCAATAAAATGAGAGGGCATAAGGTAAGATAGGAAAACCCAAGCAAAATACAATGGACAGGTACAAAAAGAAAATGACGTCAGGCACCCTCCACCTGGCCACTGTTGGACCTACATTTTGCAACTGGACCTCGGGCTCCGGCATTTTCTTTTGGGTTGATCTTGTTTTGTCTTGTTTCCTTCTTTGATTGGTTTTAACCATCTTTGAAGGAAAACCCGAAAACCCCAAAAATGGCAAGACCCAACTGATCTGTACAGAATAGATTGTTTTCCCAACTGCCAGGACTAACGAATTGTTGTTGATCCTGCCAGGCCTGTCATCTAAACCAACCAAAATGGTTTAATATCTAGACACCCTTCATGCACCCCTCAAAAAGTTTGTGGTAAGTATTGACAAGCCAAAACAGGCATCTCAAACCAACCCCCAATATAGGCACTATAGTGACCTAGTCTGGAAAATTGAAAGAATATATCCTACAAAAAAATGGGGGTGTCCAAAGGTAAGAATAGCAATCCTCATGCGGGTGCCTTAGGGGCCCCCAATTTCTAGTGGATGGCAGCCATCACAAAGACGCACAGCTGTGCATCTCTGTCAGTTAACTTGATGGGTTAGGCACCTCAAAAAATAAAATGCAGGGGTCTGACCCATTTTATTTTCATTTTATTTTTTATTTTTCTATTTTAAAAGGGGCTTCTGCCCCCCCATTCTATTTAGGTACCCCGGACGGGGGTCGTATACTACAAAACTCGCACGAACACGTTCCAGTACTACCGTATACTACAAAGCTCGCAAAAACACGTTCCAGTACTATACCGTATACTACAAAACCCGCAAAAACACGTTCCAGTACTATACCGTACACTACAAAACTCAAAAAAACACGTTCCAGTACTACCGTATACTACAAAACTCGCAAAACACACGAGGTTTTGCAGCTTCCCCTGCAAAAAACGACGCGAAAAACGACGCGAAAACGACGCGAAAAACGACGCGAAAACGACGCGAAAAACGACGCGCCGACCAACTGGCGGCGAACAAAGGTCCAACCCCCAGACCCCCAACTATAAACGGGAACCCTTCGCTACGCATTCGGGAAAAAAATACTGCTACTCTTCTTGCTCATCTTGCTCTTTGATTTTACACTCTTTAGGAGGAGGTAGTTTGCCCATGTGAGCCCCTGCCCAACAACAAGATACAAACCAATTCCAATGATCTCTGCCTGAGGTGACGAGGGCAAACATGGATGGCCTTCCCTATATAAATCAAAAAAGATAAAGGTTGAATCTTGCTTGAAAGAGTCTCCAAGCTTAGCCACCTACCATGCTCTCACGCTTCAGCAAACGTTTCCTTCCCACAAGCCCTACACTTACTTTCGCAAATTGGAACTCTCTATATATTGTTGTTTGGGCCCTGTTTGGGCTTTGTTTGTATCACAGCAACTCTTCTTCGCTTTCTTGGCAAGACGACTCGAAATTATACAACAGGACAAGCAACACTAGTTCATCACATAGAACTTGGTTATGGCACTAACAAACGCCGGTACTGTGCACATGGACTTGCATGCTACTACAATCCACCCGGTTCATCCACATCAGTCTAATCTTTGAATTGATCCATGCTTTAAACACCCGTTGTGACCCCAAATGAATAGGTCCACTAAAAACTGTTTCTGGGGGTGCGTTTATTGCTTGGATGTGCATCCCCAAATAGTCTTCAAATAGTACCAAAAAGGCTTGTTGCCAGCGCTGAAATCACCAGGAAGGTCCAATTTCCACCGCTGGCAACAAGCCCCTCCCAATAGTAAATGGTTATCACTACCAGGGGAAGTTCAGGGTTACAACCCAATTTAAAGATAGTTGTAGAGTTAATGATTTTACAACCAAGGTGAGCTATCTCATTTACAACCCCAAGTGCGCATCTAGGGGGAAGGGATTGCCCCACAGGCCACTCTCAGAATTGTGACCAGCTGCATTCCGGTCCAAATCCTTGGCGCAAGGACGGAGCTGAAAAATGGGGTCCAAAAGGCCCAAGTGTAATCAAAGTTCATCTTCGATGCCCCACAAAAATCAGCTAATTTTTGGAGTGGGACTGTCAGCAGTATCTATTTATGATATTTATGGATTTCATTCATTTTCATTCACTGCATGAAAGGTTCGACCTTGCTGCCTTGCAACGCTCCGCCTTACGAGCGTGATGAATTAGGGTACAAAAAGAGTTAGCCTTGATAGTCTGGCATCCATGGTGCGTCTGCTCGAATGTCTGTACATGATCGCAGAGCATCGCGCAACCAAGCTTCAGACGCAGGCTGAGCTAATGGTGAAATGGAAAAGGAACCTCTACGCACTGCTACTGCCAAATGATCCGCAATGACACCAGCAAGGGCATTGGAAAATGCCGGTGGATATTCCTTTAGAACTGAAGTTCGAAACTCTCCAGTTGCCTCATCTCTACCAATAGCCACTTGTTTCGGTTTAACGACATCGGGTAGTTGCCTCTTGTACATAGAGGTAGAGAATGTCGCACAGTTAATCGCCAGGATTCCCGTAGGTCTTGGAACTAAAGCCCCCCACCTCCATTGGCACACGCGATGCAACTGAACTTGAGGCAGCTGGAGCAGAAGTTGTATCATGTTGTATCCATGGTGAATTCCACATGCTGACTTTATTCTCATCCTCCGGTTTCCATGGGTGCTCCCTTAGGTAAAGTCCACCAAACTGCAGAGTCCAGGCTGCCGCAAGGATCCCCTGGAAAAAGAATTCCGACCCTTGCGCCAGTTGTTTAAGCTCTTTGAAGGTAAGACCTTCAAGACCCAAAAAATGTTCCGCACTCCTGAGAGGGCGGGGCCACTTAATGTCAGTAGAGCTTTGATGTTCTGCTGGTCGGCGGCGTCTCGCAGCTGAAAAGGTTTCACAGGGTGCGCCACAAATGGTCGCAGCAACTCTGCCAGCTCGATAAAGACTGGCTAGGTGTGTCCATGTGCAACGTCCCAGTTGGAGATTACCAAAATGAGTGGAAACCGCCGTGTCAAGGGACAAAAATTGTACATGAAATCCCATCTGGAGTGCAAATTTTTCCAAACAAGCATGAATGTCAGTGTTGCGTCTGCGTCCGCTGAACAAATGGACCACAAGAAACACCGGCTTGGTGGAAATGTTGTCAACCGTGGCTGGAATTGCATGGTCCTCCGGGATAACATCAAATTTGATCTTCCTGATCTTTTGTAGCCAGTCAGCTTGATCTTGGAACAGTGATGGAATTTGCAAAGCTGACATGATGCGTTCCTTTTCGTTCGCAGAACCCCTTCTGACAGGCCGATGTGGAAACCACGTTTGCTGTTCAGTTTCCAGTCTGCGCATTTTCTGATGCAGGAAAGTAACCTCGGTCAAAATCTGCATTCGTGGGAAATCATAAATCATGTCGGTGAAAGCCTGTTCCACCAGCATCTCTGCTTCTCCATCAACAAACTCTGCGATAATGTCAGGCAAGACATGCTCGCCCCAGCTGATGTAAACTGTTTCCAGCCATGCACCAAATTGGGGATCCTGCGTGGCACTTTGATCAAGCCAATCATCAGGAAGTTCGGCAATAATGTCTGCATCATAACCGCTTTCTTGAAAATGTAAGAAACAAGCTTGGGTGACTTCTGCGAGGCGGCCCCAGAAGAGCATTTGCTGTTGTTCTGCATCATCTGGAGTAAGTGTGACAGTCAGCTGTTGTTCACACTGCTCAAGCCTCCACTTGGTAATTTGCAGATCTTGCTCCCTGCTGTCACGGAAAAGGGGTGTGGGTCCCAGTGCCTGCAGAGCTTCAGTGCGGTTCATGCCTGCCGGTTTTGAACCTTGGACTGTAGCGCTTTCATCAGTCACGTGAAAACCACGTCGCTGCAACGTCTGGAAGCAATGGTTGATCTGCCCTTTACGTGGGACATAGGCTAGATGGAGGTAGAGCCTTTGTCGAGTCCACAGGAACTTAAGGCAGCAAGGACATGTCACGCCATCAATGAGATGTTTCTCCTGTGCACCTAAGTTATGGGCCAGCCTTTTGTGTGAGGCAAGGCCTTGTGGGGTGGTGAAGGCTCTTTTGCAGAAACAGATAAATGCACTGGCCGTGGAAACATCTACATCCTCCAAATGTGTGAAGGTAGCCGGATCTTTCAATGTCTGAAAAAATTGTGTGTGCAACCTATGCATTTGCTGCGTCATGTGCTCCTGTCTGCAATGGCGTTTCAAGGCTGCATGGATGCGTCTACGCCAATCCCTGGGGCCACTTTGCCAATAATCAAACATGTCTGTAAGATCATCTGTCCGAACCTGTGGTTGGCCCGGCGCATGTGTCCCCAGTGATCGCAGCCAGCCAAGATCAGCTAATAGTCCATGGATCCAGGAATTGGGGCACAGCGCATGCTCCCGATGGAGAAGGTGCTGTAAATCCATGGGCCCATGTTCCCATAGTCGTTGGGCATACAACAGGCGCTCTCAACTGCATGCTTGACCCTTGGTTCTGGATGGTGAGCCCTTTGCAAAATCTCATTGGCAGGTGTAGACTTGACTTCATCAGGTGTCAGTCTTAGTACCTTCCGCAGCAATCTGAGAAGAAAGGCTCGGATCTTTGCATACTGTCGAGTGGTGGGCGTCTGCCAAGCGCCAAGGCCGAAAAACAACTTGGTACTAATCAACGTATTGAATAATTGGACCCTCGTCTTTTCAGGGAGATGCCTATTGCAGAGAATGGGTTTGGCCACTTGTCCAAACGCTGCATGGGCTAGCCCTATTCTTTGTTGAATCTCCACCTCTAGCCCATGGTTGGCCGCAAAGGTGGTACCAAGGTGTTTGTAATATGGCACATAATGCAAAAAGATTTGTTGGCCGTTAATTGGAAACTGGTCACCTGGTTTAGGTCCAAGCTGATATGTCTGCCGCATCTGTGGTGCTCCTACTCCACGGAAAGAGACAACTGCGCTTGTTTTACCCTTGTCAAGGTTGAGCAAGAATCCATATTTTTCGAACATCTGCTGGACAAAGTGAGGAATTCTCCGAAGCTCACCTGGCATGTCCTTAGCATTTGTTGTAGCCCAAGGGATCGCCAGATCGTCTGCCCACGCTACAAATCCTCCTAAGCATGGACGCGTTTGGTGAAAGTTGGCAAGAGCATAATCCCTCGATAATTACTCGCAACATACTGACTTCCTTTCTTGTGAATCACTGCTAAGGGTCCCCCTTTCCCCGCAAGGGGTTCTTGCTGCCAAGCCATCATTTTGAGCAGCAATGGAAAGAATGCCTCAGCAAGTTCACATGGATATGTGCGGAAAAGAATAGACGGCAAGGTGTCATTTCCTGTTGCTTTGTGTGATGGTCTGTCTCAGAACATCTTCCAATTGCACAAGGGACGGCAGGTCTGAAACACTTAATCGATCTTGTGCTGGAGGCGTGGCGTCTGACACTGTCTTGAGTGACATGCTTGCAAAAGGTCATCAGGCTGTACTTGTTCACCTACTTCCAATTGCATGAAATGTGGCATCCATTGTTCCTCCAGCGGTTCAATTGCCAGTGGGTCAAAACCTTGTCGTCGCTGTCGGAATTTTGGCAAGCTTCGTCTGAGCACTTTCCAGAACTGTCGGGCATCAGATGGTCCAAGCCAGTTTGCACTTTCTTTCGCAAGGTTCTGGTAAAACATGGCATCATCTTGCCGTGAAGCCTGTGTGACAAGTTTTCCAAGCCTACGGAAATGATGAAGTGCAATCGCAACATCCTGGTCAAGCTGGTGCAAGATAGTGTCAAAAGCTTGGGCTGAGTTCAAAAAGGGCATGTTATGCGTGTTGTGCCTCCATGCCGCAAAGAACAAGTGCATTCGAGGTCGTGAATGCAAGCGTTGACATCGAGCCAGACTGGCCCTCCATTTCCTTTTAGCGCATACAAATTCCCACGTCTGGGCCGACATTTGAGGCTTTTGGGGATGACTACCCATCCATGTTTCCTCATATCGTGTACATGCCGCCAGGGCTGTCTGCAACTGTCCAAAATGCGTATGCACATCCACTTGACACTGGTTGCTTGGTGTGTCGAGGAATTGACCAAGTGCATCCTGGCAGAAATTTGGTGGGCACTGGCGTGGTCTGACTATGTTAAACTTTTGACTTCGGTCAGAGGTTGTCCATTGCAATGAAACTCTCTCGCTGGCCTATGGTCATCTTTGCAGAGTGAAAAATCAATGTCCATATCAATCCATGAATTGCAGAGACTTAGTGGCCAATCCAAAGGTATACCTATAAGGTCATTTCTGGTCCACGTCCCATTAGGGTGGCGCCATGTCCCACTAGGTCCTTGATGGAAGGCATCAAAAGTGGCTGGAAGAAACATCTGCTGTGCTGCAACAAACTGACAGAAAGCATCGCTTTTGGGGCATGAGTTTTCAGCTCCATGTGGTCCAATGTGCTGATTGGGTGCATCCCCAATCCTGCAGTTGGCATCAGCAAGCAAAAGCTTTGGCCATTGATCATATTTGGGTGGGATGTGGTGGTCGACATGTTGCCAATACGCTTCAATCTCTGCGTTGGCTGCTCCACTATGGGGAGCGTGTGCTGCGATGACAATGCATTTGAAGAATGGACAGCTGACTCTCACAATCATCAATCGAGGTTCCGCTGTGATCACAGCAAAATGCGATTCGTCAAACCATCCTCTAGTGTGAGGATTACCCTCACTGCTGAAAGCCATCGCTTGTTTTTTGGTGAAGCCAATCATGGTACCGAAGAGACCTCGTTCAGTTGCACGAGCATGAAACAGGAAATAATCTTCATTTTGCAGTCTTAGAGTGGTTCTCAACCGTGTCTCTTGGAAAGCAAATATTGTTATCCCTGCAATTTTCATCTGCTCGATCAGTGTCCTCCTACCCCGCATTCAGTGGTCTGCTTTGAACCTGGTAACAAGGTCAGGACATTACAAGTGAGCAGTTGCAATTGAACATCACCGAAATCATTTGAAGACTTCTTTGCAACAGCAAATGGCATCGCTTCCTCACAACATGGTTCTGTGGACGGACAGTTTGGCAGAAGCACTTGGTCTGACTGCCATCCTTCTCCAAGATGCGAAGCAAAAAAGGTCCATGTCCATTCAAGTGATTGCACAAATGCTCGTTGGGTAACATGTTCGACAAATCCGTTCCAGTCTTGCAATGGATAACCCTGCGCAGCACAATTTGCAATTGTGTCAACCAATTCATTTCCAGGATCACCACTATGTCCTGAGACATGGCTGTGTTTGCATTTGATCATCCATCTTTTCTCAATTAGGCGGATCAGACCTCTGATTGCATGACAAGTATATGGATCTTGTTTGGCTTGCCATTTACCTTCTGCATGTTTACCTACTGACAAAGAGTCATAGACAAACTCAACTGTAGGCGTGGTGGCAAACACTTAAATATTGGTCTTGACCAGGTCAAACGCTTGCTTGCAAGAAATCAGCGAGGCAATCAATTCCGCAGTATATGATTCAAATTTGGGTGCTTCCTGCTTCATTGAAATTGCCCCTGCAAACTTCCATGTGCCTTGATGTGAGACAAAGGCGGCAGTAGCAGACCCTGCTGAATCCAACTGAGGGTAATATGATCCATCATAGTAGATGCGGATGGCTTCGACTGGTCCTTCCCAATCATACCAATCACTACGAATCCAGTCAAGGCATTGTGGTAGCCAATGAGCCTGATTTCCAAGACATGCCTCAATGTCAAATGTTGGCAATGTAAAGTGGGTGTCCAACCTGTCCAAAGCTTCCCTAGCCGGTGCAAGATCTAATCGGATGTTCGGATCCGTTTTAGTAAAGTATCTTCTTCCCTGGTCTCTGGCTTGGCCGGTTTACCTGTCTGCAACATAACCTGGGTATCTACTTGCGGTTGTTGAACTGGTTGGGGTCGGTGTCCTCTGATGACATGTAGGACGAGACTATATCCCGTCCAACATGGGATAGGGTGCCCTGGAAGTAGTTGCAGCTGTTGATACCAAATCTGGCAATGAACTGGCTCTGCCTCATGTATGCATGAGTCGTCATAATGAACTCCACGTGTGACCTGCTCAAAGGTGAGGTGTTCAGTTGTGGTGATGGCTATCCTCAAAGGTACAGGTCCCAATCGAAAATCCTGCACCGTCACAAGTGACGTAGACCAGTGATCTCTAGGTGATTGGACAAGCATCACATGGGCTGCCACTCCGATTTCCATCCTTGGTGGGGTTGGTTGCACGACTGTCATCTCATGAACAAGGTCGATTTGCACAAATTCACTCCAAGCTGCAAGGATACGTTGTTCCCAAGCAGAGAAATCTTCAAACAACCTGACTGCGCGAGGCACATAACATTTGGGATTAGGCATTCTGTGGTCGACAAACCAGACAAGAATTTCAGTCGATGGCATTTCATCTTCCCAAGCGTATGCATCCGCACTCCAGAGCTCGTGCAGCGTCTGTACAAATTCCGTTTGTTGAGATGTCAGGGATTCCTGGGCAGAATTCAGGGGCATTCGGATCAAGTTGGAAAGCAACATCTCTGCTTGCTGGATCAGGTCTGTCGTTACGATTGGCACGTTGCCATCGCCTGGTCACATGCTGATGTGTGTGCTGCATGAGGGTAAGATCCTCAAAATGGAGATGCTCAGTGGGGTCTTCGGCTGGTGAGGCGACCCTTACCGACAAACTATCACCTGACCTAACTTCAAGGAAAGCATCATTTGGTACTGTCTGGGTCCCATGAGTGAGTGAACATCTCCGCTGTACACAAAACCTAGAAATCTCCATTGTGGCTGTAACATGCCTGAGATCCAGCCTTCTTGT